GTCGACTTCGCGTAAGTCGACTCGATAATCTCTGAACCGCGATGGTATTGAACCGTTACACGACAGTATGGCTATATCACCCCTCTCTCGAGTTCTAGGTCGGTCACTCACCTGCCTTTCATGCAGGTGAAGGACCTTTGGACGGGGGGTTTTGGGATAGAGATAAGATGGAGGATATTCTTGGTGAGGGTGGGGGTTTCAGTAGACTAGAGATTGACCAGATCCGACAGATTCCCATTCTGGAGGGAGATTTGGATGGCATAAGGAAGAGACTTACATCTTCGGGTGCATTCTCTACGTCATCGGCCTGGGAGATGTGAGGCTGGGCAACCGGCCTAACCTCATCTTCGGGGCCATATGGACCGAACCTTCTCACCCCGACCATTTCTGTCTTTTGTGGCATCTCCTATTATTGCACATTCTCATTGACACTGTGATGCAGGTGAGAGGGTTCTCTTTCCTCTCTCGTTGCCATTGTTGTGCTGAGACCGGTACATTTGAGATCGAGACTTTCACCCATCTTTTCCTTGAGAGTGAGATTGTGAGGAGAGTGTGGGAGCACTATGCCAGATATACTCATATACCTCTACCCACTACAGACAGTTTTTTTGAGCTATTGAGGTTTTTCTCACACCGCACACACAGTAGACACGTGGGCTTCCTTATTCCTTGTCTGATCCTATGGTCCACCTGGACAGAAAGGAATAATGCGAAGCATAGGGATATTATATTTTCGTGTGCTCACATCATTTTGCAGGTTGACAGACACCTCTCTCTCCTCACCGCCCTGGGTAGACTCACGACAAGAGACTGGACAGGTTGTACGCCGCCCCATCGTTTGAGGCGACCACCTTCATTACTTGTCCAGCACCCACGACCCAGGGCCGTTTTTTTGGTTGAAACCCAAGGCCCCTTGGGTTAAGCTAAACACTGATGGCGCATTCGACAGACATACCGGAGCTGCTGGAGGAGGGGGCATGATTAGGGACCATGGTGGGGCACTCATCTCTGCCTTCCATGGGCCACTCCGGGATCCTCGAGTTATGATGCAGAGATTCAGGCGCTCCAGATTGGTCTTGGGATTGCCTCCTCGATCTCTTCCCATATCTGGATAGAGATGGATGCTGCAGCTGTCATCACACTTTTGACATCTGGCCACCAGGGCTCATGGCAGATCCAACATTCTCTTATGCGCATCAGAGACACCCTCCGTTCGATCCATTACGAGGTCTCACACATATTTCGAGAGGGGAATCGACCTGCTGATTTCCTTGCTAGCACGGGGGCATCTGTACCCCAAAGACGCATCCTTCTTCCTGAGGACATTCCCCTCCGGCTTCGGACACTCATTCGGATGGACTAGCTAGAGTACCCATCCTTCAGATTCAGACGACCGCCACCACTTGCCCCTAATTAGATTTGATGTTTTGGATCCCATGCCAGGTCACTCTGACCAGGCCGATTTTTTATGAGGATTTGATTTTAGACCCACATCGGATATTTTGTGATCCTTGTACTTTATATTTTTTATTTTTATGTTTTCGATGTTGCTCTATGTATTTTCGACATTGATGTAGACCATTGACTTTTTAGCACTCTCTGGGCCTTTATATTCACAGGTCGGGGGTGTAGCCTCAACCCCCCATCCTACTCTGGGATGTTTAAAAAAAAATTCTACTCATGTTCTCGAATGCAAGATATTGACAGGTGATCACGCTGACGATAATGTGTTGATTCCTAGGATGAATATCATTCCATCTGATACTCGGATTCCATTTAAGTTCCAACGACGACAGTTCCCACTTGTGATTTCGTATGCCATGACCATAAATAAGTGTAAGGACAACCTTTATCGCACGTTGGTCTATTCCTGAAGAAACCTGTTTTTAGTCACGACCAATTATATGTTGTTGTTTCACGTGTAACTAATAGAAGAGAGTTGAAGATATTAGTTTGTGATAATGAGGAGTTACCCAATAACCAAACTCATAATGTTGTGTACAAGGAGGTTTTTAATAATATATGATTTTTTCGTGACGAACAATCCTTTTTTTCTTAAATGTTCCTATGTATTAAATTTTTTCGATCTAATGCATGTCATCTTATATTATACTAGTACAGAGCCCGTGCGATGCACGGGATGTACAATTTTTGGATATTTATCCAGCCTTATAATTATATAAATAAAGAAAAAAAAAATTTACGGGATATATATAGTACGTAACCTGTGCGAGACACGGGATATATTAACTTTGGGATTATTATATTATAAGATGCAATATGCAATATAAAAGTTTTAAAATACGCAGGAAAATTGTACAATAAAAATATTATTCCCCAAAGAAACAATCATATATTATTAAAGACCTCTTTGTGTACAACATTATGAGTTTGATTATTGGGCAACTCCTCATCCTCACAAACTAATATCTTCAACCCCCTTCTAGTAGTTACACGCGAAACAGCAACATATAATTGGCCATGAATAAAGACAGGTTTCTTTAGAAAAAGACCAAATGTGTGATAAAGACTGTCCCTGACTCTTATTTATGGTCATGGCATACAAAACCATAAGTGAGAATTGCCGCCGCTGGAACTTAAATGGAACCCTAAGATCAGAGGGAGTAATATTCATTCTAGGAATCAACACTGTGTCGCCAGCATGATCACCAGTCAATATCTTGCATTCAAGTACATGAACGGAGAGTTTAGTCACAACCAACCGTGTCCCATTGCAGAGTCCCATAGAATGGTCAATGTTCCACAACAACATGACTGGAGTTCCTATCTTTAAATGCATCTCATGGTTGGGTATTCCGGAACACTTTATGCTATTCAAGAACTCAAGCGTGTGGAGATCTGCTAAGAAGTCATTGCCAGAATCAGACTTAGATGCACTATCAGAACTCAAATACGTGCGACCTTCAGCTGAATTCATATCTGACATGTACTGATTGATTGATTCAACGACCTCTAAGGTTGGCGCTAAAATAGCCCTATCCTTCAAATAACTTGGATCTTCAGTTGAATTTTTAAACATTGGATAGGTACTTTCCATAATTGCAGCAACTGGATCATCAGATGGATCAAGTCTAATATCATCCGGTATATCAATAGAGGCACAACCGACATTTGATCCTCCTAAAGTACCATCTCCGATGCTAGCAATCCAATCAGCAAAGGATGCTACCTCGTCACGCTCATCCGAGTCAGAAATACTTTGAAGATGCATATTTTTGGTAAGTCGAAGCACAATGCAGTCCTTCCAATTGGTAGAAGCATTAATAGTTGCATTAACAATGTCTTGGCGACTGCCCTTTGGAATGACTGGAAGGATCTGTCGAAAGTCTCCACCAAACACAATAGCCTTGCCTCTGAATGGCTTGTTACTGTTAGAAGGGTCGACTGCTCCCATGATAGCCTGTAGTGATGTTTGAAAAGCTTCAAAGCAATATTTGTTCATCATTGGAGCCTCGTCCCATATGATGAGAGAGCATCATATTATTAATTCTGCAAGAGGACTTGCCTGATTGATATCGCATGAAGAATTTTCATGAACAGTGAATGGAATGCGAAACCGAGAATGTGCAGTTCGTCCACCAGGTAACAAAAGCGATGCTATTCCACTCGACGCCACACAAAGAACAATTTGACCTTTGGATCGTAAAGCAGCAGATAATGTCCTCCACAAGTTAGTTTTTCTGGTCCCACCATAACCGTATACAAAGAATACACCACCAGTACTCGACTCCACAACAACCATAATTTTTTAATAGACCCCTTTCTGTTCGTCAGTCATTTTTTCAAGAAGGGTTGCGTGCTCCAAAGCTAGGGCATTCTTATCGTAATTCAGTTCATCCAAAATAAGGCGGTTTGATGTTATATGAAGGCTATCTCTATCTGGATAAGACATTGAAGAATATTCACGAAGACTTGAGCCACATCTTCGCAACATATTTTCAATTTCAGCAAGGGCCAGATTCTTTATAACATCATCAGTGAGCCGCAAATCTATAAATTAACAAATTCAATTCAATAAATCTATAAATTAACAAATTCAATTCACGAACAATCCTTTTTTTTCCTAAATGTTCCTTTGTATTAAATTTTTTCGATCTAATGCATGTCATCTTATATTATATTATTCTCCCAAGTTCTCCAAACTTATACAGCCCCGTGCATGGCACGAGTTGTGTATTAGTTAATAGATAAAATAAATGATAAAAATATAAAATATAAAACTACATTTGTTTATATTGAAAACCAACACCTCTCGTTTTCTTTCTTCTTTCAACCATTTTCCCCGGTCTCTCTCCCTTTTTCTTACACGGATCCTATCCTGAATGGCTGAAGCTTTAGCCAAAATGCTCTCCCCGCAAGTTTTGTTATCTTAGATCATTTCTTTTCTCCGGCTTAGTTTATACCTCCCATTTCCGGTTTTCGTATATTGATTTCTTATTCCAGATGATCGTATAATTCATTCCAACACCATATAGTATCGATTTTCAATTTCAGATCACTGCGATATCTACTGGGAGAAAAAAAAAAAAGTTTTTCTCGTCGTTTTTTTTCTTTAATCATATGAAGAAGGAGAATTGGGTTCCTTTTTTAACCCACTCTTCAGCATCAGATGTTAATTTTTCTGTATTCAAATGTTTGAGATTCCCGTCGGTTGTTTTCTAATTATCGATTGAGAAACCCTAATTCATTGGTACTTTTATACTATTTTTCTTTGTGAATTAGTAGTACTTTTTTCTGGAAGCAGCTGTTGCATTTTCCGTTTGGGGATTTTTGGGACATTATTTTCACTGTTCTTTTCATTTTCTTTGATGGGATTCAAATGGATCTGAAAGGTGCCCAGATTTGTGATTTTGATTCGTGCCTCAGGATGCCATGAAGTATCATTGATTCATTAAGTAGTGCATTGTAAAATATCAACAAAGGCTACTATTTTTTTTTTTTTTCTCGAGGTTTTCATTATTTTTTTAAGAAATTTCACTATGGATCATGTAATTGGCGGCAAGTTCAAGCTGGGGAGAAAGATTGGTAGCGGATCTTTTGGAGAGCTTTATTTGGGTAAAATTTTAATCTGCATTTTGTATCTCATAAGTTCTATTCCCTTTGTTTTTCCTCTGTTTCTGTGATTAAGTTGTAAGCTGTATATAAAGATTACTCTTTCTTTGTTCATTCAGGAGTAAATATACAAACTGGAGAAGAAGTTGCTGTTAAATTGGTGAGAATCTATTACCTGAGAATATTTGAGTTTCTGATCAAGGCATCTCTTTTTACTATGTATCGACATATCCATATGTGTAATAGTTTTTAGGTCTTTTAGTTACTGAAGGAGACTTTTATCGTATGTGATGGTGATACCAACATGAAACCTTTTATGTTATCAAGGTTCATGTATGCTGAATTTATTTAGAATATTTCGTATATTGGTCACCTGAAGGCTGAAATTATTTTTTGCAGGAATCTGCTAAAACTAAGCACCCCCAGCTTCACTATGAATCAAAATTGTACATGCTCCTTCAGGGAGGAAGTGCGTATGAATATTTTTGAACTATCTTTTTCTTTGTT